ATAGATAGATAGATAGATAGATAATGTATATAGCTAATGGTATTTACTGGCACCGAGCCGGTGCCCTGAACGCATCGTGGGCCCTTCATCGGCCTTTTGTGCTGATGAGCAGAGAGACACATGGCCCGGTCTGGACTCACGTTGGGTAATCCTCACATCACTTAATGAAGAGTTAACACACACACAGACCTAAAAACAGACACACACCCTCACCCACACACAAAGCAGCTTTCAGAGCTACAAATACTTTCAGTAGGAAAACGAGAGACATTTGTTTGTAAGAAGCATCAGAACAGACAGCGAGACCCTCAGAACACTCAGTGTGGTTCTGGTTCTGTCCCAGGCGCCCCTCCCACTCCTCCATCTGCCACCCAACCACCCCCCACCCCCCACCCCATCCAAGGTTGCCTCCAGTTAAAACTTCTCCCAGAACCAGTTGTGCTCAGTGGAGCCTATGTTTCTCCTGCCCCCCCCCCCCCCCCCCCCCCCCCCCACCACATACACACACACACACACACACACACACAGTGGCCCATCGGTTACCTTATCAATCCTGATCAGTCCGGGGGTAAAAAGCGAAGGTCCAGCTCTGTGTTCCAGCGCAGCGAGAGCTCGGTTCTGTCCGTCCACCCTTCCTCTGTCAATCTGGCCACAAACCCCTCTTTCCTCCCTTTATCCCGAGGTAAGATACTTACTTTTCAGATAAAGCATATTATGATAAATCGGCTGAACTCGGTGCGTGTGAGTGTGTATCTGTCTCACACTCTCTCTCTCACACACACACACTGTTAGCACACAGTGTGCACACAGATACACACCATGGTGTGAGAGGTGCTGAGCAGGGTGTTTGTTGGGCCTTTTAGGATGACAAAGTTTTCTGTGGTTGGATCAAATCACACACTGAGGCTGTTTTTGTTTACAAATAATAATAATAAAAAAACACCAGAGAGCATTCTGGGAAAAATTATGATGCATTCTCCAAACAAATTGCTAATTGTCTTTTGGTTCGATTCTGACTGCAGCATCATTTCACCAGCAGGACCGCCCCGCTCAAACTTCATTTTCATTTCAGTTTGAAATCCTTTTCCTGAGGGGTTGCTCCGGTTCCAAATGGTGAACTCTCCGCCTCACGCTGATAAGATGAACTCACCAGACGGATAAGGAAATTTTTTTTTTCTTTCTGTAATTGTCTGAAACAAATGAGTTCTCTCTTGGGCCTGTGTGGGTTCAGGGGGGGCTGATGAGATGGGACGCAGCACGTGGCCCGGCGGGCCTTGGCCCTGCAGGGTGACGGTGGAGGTCAGCAGAGGGAATGAAGGAGTTTGGACAAAATGAAAAAACAATGGCTCTGCTCACCTCTGGGATATGAATGCGTGCATGTTGCAGAATGGGCTGTTTATGAAATGCTGTGCATGTGCGTGTGCGCGAGTGCAGCAATAAAGATTAGAAGCACTAAGCCTCTTATGCTTGTCCTGAATTTGCTTCTGCTCTGGGTCCTACTGCGTCAGAACCAGCAGCCGGTCCTCGCCAAGCAATTCCTCTCAAAAGCCAGAACCAGAATCGTTCGTTTGGTTCTGGTTCGGAGCTGCAGCGACCAGAACTTCCATCCAACACCCAGAACACCAGCCAGACCTGCAGCCAAACGGAGCAGATTTAAGGAGATTTGTTTGGAAAGAGAAGCACGCAGGTGAAAAATGACACAATCAGCACAGTACAAAAATAAAAGACTAAGGTTGGTTTATTTTTGACTGTTAGTTTTAATCCTCAGTCATTAACGGGTCAAACTGTGCGGTAAACTTTTAAATCAAAATGAGAACAATAAATATAAATAAACTTTAAATCCTGCAGTGGAGTTCAATCAAACATTAAATTATTATAATATCTGTGTCTGAGTGCAGTTTATTTGTGCACATTTGACAACTTTATTTTAAACTTTTGGATGTAAATGGAAGAAAACTGTAAATACACATAATTATGTATAATAATTTAATTACAATAGCTATTTTTATTCAAGAGAATGAGCAGGAAGTTACTTTAGAATTTATTTAAATGAGCTAAACACAAAATTTAAGAACAAATCAAGTTCCACTAATTCAACTTAAATTCATTTCATGACTTCAATTTTTTGTTAAGAATCCTACTTTAGTTTATTTTTTGCAAACATTTAAAAACAGTGTTTCATAAATTAAAATCAGAAGGTGCAGCTAAAATGACTAATAATAATAATAATAATAATAATAATAATAATAATAATAATCTAGTCGTCATGTTAAAACTTTTAAAACCAAAAGTCTAATTAAAAACTTGTTAAACTTGTTTAAAAGTACAAAAGTTTATTATTTGATCAGCTTCATTAGTCCAGAGTTACATTTGTTATTTTTCGTTCAGACACATTTTATCAAATATTATGAATAAATGTTCACATAAAAAAATTAATAACTTCACTGATCCGTTCATAAAAAATTGTTTGTTTTGTTCATTTTTATTAAGACATGCTGTCAGGTTTTAGCTTTTTCATTTTTCGTTCTGGAATTTAATTTAATCTCAAACAAATGAATCAAAACTTTTAACTCTTTTCACAATAAACACAACAAACACTGTTTTGACATGATATAAATTCACTGTAGAGGATTTATTTTAGATATAAAATTTAAATTTCTTTTTCCCAGAATATCTGACTGAATAAACTTGAATTATTTGACACGTTTCATAAAATAAAACAGAATAAAAGTTGCAGTTGATGAAGGTTTAATGGCTAAAAACATGTTTACTAGGAGCAGATGTGATGTTTGAGACTTTAAACAGGTGAAAAGATTTTAGAGCTGATGAGAAAAACCACAGAATTAAAGATCGAAGAGATATTAATGATAATAAAGATTTATGAATAATCCTCAGGTGTAATCTGGTCCAGAAATAAAAAAAATTAAATCTTCAATTTGAGACTAAAATGTAGAAACTTCAGCCTTTTGATTAATTTAATTAAATTCTAAATAATCTCCAGAATGTAAAGGTTTGATTAACTCCACAAGAAGAATAAAATTATTATTATTATTATTATTATTATTATTAGTGAGGGGTGAAGGGGTGCCTGGTCAGGAGTCTGTTGGGGATCAGAAGCAGATTTAGCAGCAGAACAAGTAGCTCTTTGTGCTGGTTCTTAATCCGGTCCGGACCCGGTTCTGCCTCCACTCGGTTCAGTTCTTTGTGGCTCATTTCTGCAGCTCTGGACCATCAAGCGGCCTCGGAGCGAGGCGGAGGCTCCTCCACAGCATCGACTCGTTTCAGCAAAACTTCACTACAAATCTGGATGAAACTTCTTTGGGCTTTGGTTCTGGTGTGACCCGTGAAGGGACACAAAACAAACCAAAGACACTAAAGTTGGGACAGGACGGGGAATAATTGGAAATCCGTGGGCGTGCGCGTTTGCGTAAGAGAGAGAGAGAGAGGTGGGGAGGAGTGGAGGGGAGGAGGGAGGTCTCTCTGCGCGGACTTGGGTCAGAAGTTTCCTCTAATTAGCCAGTCTTCTCCTCGCCTGCCTCACTTGCCTCACCCTGACCGCCACGAGGGCCCAGACCTCCGTCCAGCATCCATCAGGGCGCGCGGGACGAGCTGCCGTTACGCACCGCGCGGAGCAGCATCTGCACGAACCGAGCCAGCATCCTAATACTTTCTGTTTTCAGCTGTTTCTCTTTAGGAGCTTGAAACATTGTTTTTCCAACGAGGAGTGAAGAAGCTTCAGGAAGCAGAACCACAAGAGAGAAAAAGACGGTGAAGCATCATCTGAGAGACAAACAGCCAGAAGAACAAACAAACAAACAAACAACAAGAGCAGAGAGAGAGGCAGGGAAGAGAGAGAAGGAGAGACAACCCCCCCGAGGGAAGTCAGGAGAGGCGGCCCCCGGCTCCACAGAAGGAGAGAGAGAGAGTGAGGGAGTGTTTTAAAGCCGGCAGGAGGCATGATGTCCTACATTAAACAGCCCCATTACGCCGTGAACGGGTTAACGCTGTCCGGCCCGGGCATGGATCTGCTGCACACCGCCGCCGTGGGATACCCCAGTGAGTACACACCTGCACACCATGACACCTGCATCACACCTGCAACACACCTGCACATCATCATTGCTGTTTACGTGTTGGCACTGAAAGTTTGACTGGAGTTTTGTGCGTGTGTGTGTGTGTGTTGTTTTGTTTTTTACCCCGTTTGAAATAACGGATCAAAATGTGTTGAATGTGAGGTTCTGCCTGGTTCTTCAGCAGAACCGGTTCTGAGTTGACCCATAAGTTTAGAGGATTACAGAGTCGGAAAAACTGAAAACAATGAAGATGTGTGTGAACGGAAGCCCGGGCTGTTCTCACACCGGTTTAATCCCAATCTGGTGCTTTAACCCATTTACACCGGCTCATTGTCATGTACTCATATTAATATTATTATTATTCATGGTGGACTCGTTTTGTTTAGGATGCTCAGCAGCTGTCAGCTTTGACTCTTCTTTTGTTTTCAGCAGGTGTGAACCTGAGCTCAGGTCTCAGATTAGGAGGAAGAAAAAACCTCCATCTGTGAAGTTAAACGAGTTTTATTAACTCGGTTTGATCCGAACAAACAGAACATTTCCTTTGTATCATATAAAATATATTTACAGGCTCCTAATATGTTTCACTTAACTATTCGTTTTCTTATGAGCCTTAAAATAAGAGCTAAACAAGTGGATGGAAAGTGATTTAACTAAACAATTTAAATTGAGAAACTTCTTTTAATTTTTCGTTTGGAAAATAAAAAAACTAAACGGAAACCAGAGCTTGAGAAACAATTACAAAAGTATTGACACAGTTTGTAAAAACACACACAAACAAACAAAAAACTAACAAGTTATTATAACACAACAAATAAAAGTATATTGTCGTTCATGGAATAAAAATATTTATTTTCTGCAGCCTATAAAATAAATAAAATCCGCTGATTGAAAACTCGCGGCCTTTTACCCTGAATCAATAGATCATGAACAAATAATTAGATCAATAATAATAATAATAGTAAAAATAATAATAATAATAATAATGATGATGATATTTTGGACAGGCACTCCGCGCAAACAGCGCCGGGAGCGCACCACCTTTACGCGCGCGCAGCTGGACATCCTGGAGGCTCTGTTCGCCAAAACTCGGTACCCGGACATCTTCATGAGGGAGGAGGTGGCCCTGAAGATCAACCTGCCCGAGTCCAGAGTGCAGGTGACGCATTTACAACACTTCACACTGACCTGGACCTCCCTCACTGTGAATATCAAGCTGACCTGTTTTCTTCTGTTCTGGGGGGGTTCTGGTTCTGAAGGTCTGGTTCAAGAACCGCCGGGCCAAGTGCCGCCAGCAGCAGCAGCAGAGCACCGGCCAGTCCAAACCCCGGCCCCCGAAGAAGAAGGCCTCCCCCGCGCGCGATGCCAACACGGAGGCCAGCGCCAACCCCTCCAACGGGCCCTACAGCCCCCCGCCGCCTCCCCCCGGCACCGCCATCACCCCCAGCTCCAGCGCGGCCAGCGCCACCGTGTCCATCTGGAGCCCGGCCTCCATCTCTCCGCTGCCGGACCCCCTGTCCGCCTCCACCACCCCCTGCATGCAGCGCGCGACCACCTACCCCATGACCTACAGCCAGGCCCCCGCCTACAGCCAGAGCTACGCGGGCTCCTCCTCCTACTTCACGGGCCTGGACTGCAGCTCCTACCTGTCCCCCATGCACCCGCAGCTGTCCGGCACCGGCGGGGCCCTGAGCCCCATCACGGCCTCCTCCATGGGGGGCGCCCTCAGCCAGTCCCCCGCCTCCCTGTCCTCCCAGGGCTACACGGCCGCCTCGCTGGGCTTCGGAGCCGTCGACTGTCTGGACTACAAGGACCAAGCTGCCTGGAAGCTCAACTTCAACGCTGCTGACTGCCTGGACTACAAGGACCAGAACTCCTGGAAGTTCCAGGTCTTGTAAATAAAAGGGGGGGGGGGGGTGTCTTATATGCTGAAGAACCTCAGATTGTACTTGGTGTTGTAGAAGGAGCAGAACTTTGGACACCCAGAAGAATGAGTGCAGCTGAAGAACAAACAGCTGAAAATAATCTTTGTTTTCTGTGTTAAAATAAGGAAATGAATGAAGTAAATAAATAAAATGTTGATGATCTGTTGATGCTCAGAGCATCAGCCTTTAAATCAAGGAAGAATGAAGTATTTAGAAGTAAAATGTGATTAGATAGAAACAGAAGAAACGTTTGACCTTTATGCTCTTTGAATCAGAACATCATGAAGCTGTTAGGCCTGATCTAAATGGACCTGTTGCCCCCCCCCCCCCCCCCGCCCTGGTTTTAAAGGTGGAACATCACATCCTTTGTCAGGACTGAAAGTGCACGTGAGCGGGTCGTTCCCTCCCTCTGAACTCTGTCTTGTGTTTGTAACGATGTGTTTCTTCCATGAAGCTGATTCAGCAGCGACTTGACTGACAGCTCGGAGGACTTCAGCCGACCAGCGGACGTGACGGGGCCACGTCTTTACGACGTGTTTAACAGACCCAGGAGGGGCCAGCTGATCGGTTCTTGTAGCCTTGTATATTTGGGACTGAAGCTGAGGAGGGGGGGGGGGGGGGTAGAGTTGGCCTCTCCGGTGTCTGCAGAGCAAACCTGTTGCCTTTGGTTGGCTCGTATTTTGTTGCGTTCATAGGATAACTTTTACTCCAGGTGTCCCCCCCCCCCCCCCCCCCCCCCCCCCACACACACACACACACACTTACTTCATCTCCAGATATCTGCACCAGCTGAGCAGACTGCAGGGGGCAGTTTTAGACTGAGAGAAGGCCTGCGCCAGAGAAAATGAAGGCCTCTGTGCAGCCCCCTCACCCCCCCCCCCCCTGCACAGAGTGTTTGGTGCCTCTCGACTCCATCCTGTAAAAACGTGTCACCACTTTTTGTGTTTGGTGTTTTCTTTCATTCTCTTTTTGTATTAGGCTTAAAATGACACCCCCTCTTTCAAAGAGCTGTACATTTGAGTTTAAAAAACGTGTTACCTTGTTCAAGTCAGTATTCTCAGCATCGCTGCTGTCGTCGTTGCGCCTTCGGCTGACGCGGACGTTGGTGATAGACGCTGTTTTGTAAATATTAAAACTTGAAAATGCAATCGTGTGTGGTGTCAGCAGAGGGTTGTTACACGGGCACTTCATCCGACAACCTTTTTCTCCTTAAAACTCTAGAAAACTGCCAACTTTTTACTCTTTGTATTTCTCTCATTTCTACTATTTCTTTTCAAACTCAGGGGTTCCTCCAACAGCAGTAGCAGTGACGGGACACGACGCTATTCATGCTTTTAAATCATTGACTGTACTCTAATTTGATGCGTTTTAGTCTTATTTTCTGACATGAATTGTTTTGTATTCTGTTTGTCTCCAGTGTTTGACCAGTCTCACCATTACTGTGCTAGATGATTATACTGTTTTTGAAATATTAAATGACTTCATTAAACCTTTGGGGGCACCCGTTCTTTGTAATTTTCTTCTAGAGTTCATAAACGGGATGAGGCACGCTGTCACTTTCACTGCTGAAGAAAGAGGTAATGAAGCGTATGAAATGAAAGAAACTATGTACACTGAAAGGTCATGTGACCATAGTGCAGTGATTAGAACTTCAGATCAAATGAGTGTGAGACCCCTCCAGCGGTGGTCCTTGAAGCAGATGCCTGTTGTTTTCTCACCTGTGAGTCGGCCCACAGCTGTGGTCTTGAGATTCATCAGATCAGCGCTGGGTCAGAGTTCACGTTCAAGATGATCCCTCATGTTTGATTTGGAAAGGATTGGGAGACCTGGCTGACCACGAGAACCTTGATATGAGTCAAGCAGGCATTAGTTTCTGGTTGAGTGTGCGAGAGTTGCTTTGTTGAAAGTGTACCAAGGTGCAGCCTCATGTGGGCCAACAGATGATGCAGTGCTGTACCCAATGGAGTTCCCTGAATCACTACCAGAAGAGACCTGAAGTCAACCACTATGACTTCCCTCCCATTGATGCCAGGAGTGACTGGGAGTCTTCACAACATTGGCAGGTTTGGTTTTCTGCCCTCAGAACAACAAAATATGAACACAATGGGTTTTTTTTTGGGGTGGGGATCATTCACAACTGAGATTCATTCATCATTAGTCCAAGCCCCCCAGTTATGGCACCACATAAACTCAACCTCCTCTGTTCTGACAGACTTCACTTGGGACAGGGGACCAATAATCTGGCAGGAGCCAGTCACTGTAACTGATTCCTAAAGTGTCCAGTGTCTGTGTTCAGATGGCAGAGGTTCTATAATGCTTGGTACACAGTACATGATCGTTCCTTGGTGTGGTTCATCGTGGGTGACTAGAACCTTCACAGCATGTGGGTGTCCCTCATGTACTCGTTGTTTCCAACGTCGAGTCTCTGTGAAATCTGGACACCCTCCCTACATGTTGGGGAGTTGTATCATACGATCCACAATGTGACCCATTTCAATCTCTGTCAAGTCATGGAAAAGTCCAACTTGATTTTGTGGCTCTGCTGGCATTCGCTCACTCTTTTTGTTTCACTATCAGGCACACTGGCAACTGCCTGATAACACTGTTGCCTTATTTGCGGTGACACCATTTTTGCCTTGTGGTGAAATGATTTACAAACCTGTTGCTGGTCTGCATGTGGACCTGGTGTGCATAACAGACCATTTATGTAAGGTTCTTAATCTTTCACTGTTGTCAGTGAGTGCCACCCTTTGGTGCCATGGTGGAAGAAAGACAACCGGTATGACAATGTCCTCCATTGCCAAGGAATTTGAACAGTAAATGTTTGTAGTTTTCGAGATATGTGTGAAAGGGATAGACCCTGGTGAGCGGAGGGAGCAATTTATCCACCATCTTGTGCAATGGCAGAGCCAGGGGGTGGCCAATGGTGGCCCTGGCCACCCCAATTATTTAAATAAACTATACAAACATTATAAAAATAAGTAAGCATAGTTTCCTCAAATAATAGGGATAGTCGGTTTACACACTGTGGCAACCATCTTGGATTTTAATGTAGTAACTCAATTATTGTAAGTGACTTTTCTTACACCTAGATTCAGCCACACACCAAAATGGAAGTTATGATCTCACTTTTTTATTATCATGTTCACAACAGGCGCTAATGGACGGTCAGAGGGTGTTTCTATTTTCCATTTTTCGCTCCTCAATGTGGAACAAAAATTGTTCCTGGCATCTGCAGAAAGTATATTTTTTGGCGCACTCTACTAATCCAGACATGAGTTATAGAGAGTCTATGACATAAATGAAAGGGAGCAGGACAGAGAGGACAAGAAACAGATTAGACCTAACCAATAAATTGAGCCCCGTTGCTCTGCCGCTCCCAAACCACACAACAAAAGCTGGTCAGATTATTGTGGCCATCTGAAAGTTCCTGTTTGTTCCTGCCACCGATAGGACAGAGGGTCAGCTTCATGAGGGTTACAAGAAGTGCATTAGAAGAGAGGGTTTAAGCGCACTATTAGACAATATCTTGAAACGAGGAGGTGGGTACTTGCATCACGACACAATGCATTTATGAGAAGAACATATTTAAGCTGCATTACAATCACGTTGAAAGGTTTTCCCTCTGATCTCTCTGCTGTGTCTGAGTAAATGTACAAGATTAAGGGCGGCACAACAAACTGAACAAAGAGGAATGGAACTGAGCTGTTGAGTCAATACTGAACACCACAGTTACTTTGAGAAACAGAGACAGGTGAAGACGAATGTTTGGATCAGTCCAGAGACAGATCAGACTTTGCTCCTGACGTTTTAGTGAATGTAACTGAGGATGTTTGTGCTTCTTAGGACCTATTGTATGACGACTTTATGCTCAAGCCTTTTTGTCCCTGCTCATGGAGCAAAAGGGGCGAATAGGAAATACTGTACCCAACATTTTTCAGTCAGGTCATCTGGACAGTTTCTTTTTTTTGTGCTGAAACGTTTTGCCTTCAATCCGGAAGGCTTCATCAGTCAAGGAAACACACAACACAAAACTGATTCTTCCCCCAACAGCTTACTCCTTACTTACTGATGAAGCAAATTACCTTGCTCTTCTACACAAGGGGTGAACACACTTTTTTAGCACTTAGGTTCAGCACTTAGCACAACCCTACACAATAACCTGGAGGCTAGTGCTAGCACGCTAGCTCCATAAACAAACAAACAAACAAACAAACAGACAAACAAACAAACAAACTCAGCAGTTCCCACTTTTCAAATACACAGTCAGTTCAAGGTTTTTTCACAAACAGACATCTAAAAGTTGAGAGCCATATCAGTTAGAAATGACAACATAGGCATTAGATAAAGGGCTTAATGGCTCAAAGCCTACCTGCAGCAGCTAGCCTAGCCTCTCTCGCACATAGCCTGGTTGACAGTATCACTGCATGCTCTGTTCCGGGACCAATAAATAAATAAATTTGTTCCTGTACTGGAAGCACAATCCGTACCATGCAACCGTATTCTGGGCGCAGGAGTGGTGTGCCCAGATGCTTCCTATCTCTTTTAACGAAGAGGAGTTACTGCGCATGAACAAATTTTAATGAGAATTTATGGGCAAAGATTCTTGCGCCCCCAGGGCAGAAATACATCATCAATCAGAGATGTTTTTGAAAGAAACAACTTTACTCATCATTAACTATAAAATAATTATCTTACACAACAACAATAACAACAAAAAAACATATATTTCAAAATATTTTTACTTTATAATTGAATTTTTTTTTTTTTTTTAGTCTTCAGAGTAATATGGTGAGTGGTTTGTGTTTCCTAGCACCCTCTATTGATCAGCTGCCACTGGTAGCTATAGCTACTTCACACGTCAGTGCCAGAACTCCAGAAGACACTGATTAGCTGGAATGAAAGTTCGCTGGTGATTTCATTGGTTGAATTTTTTACCTCTTCGTAAACTTCTGTTGTCGCTACACAAATCATGTGACACAGGTCTGTTTTGACTGAGGGAGGGGGTATATCTTCCTCCAGTTGCAAATCATGCGCTACATACAGACAGATTGTGACAGCTGTGCTCAGGCTGACAGTTTATTATAAAGCGGGAGATAACTAGATATTTTACTTGGGCATTTCCCCCATTGCCCTAACTGCACAGCATAGAGGGAACATTACGTATCATTGGGCACTTTTAATTGGTTATGCGGAAATTCCCAAGCATTTTTTGTGGTTATATGCAGTATACTCACGTATCATGTAGACTACAGAAATGCACCCTAGTAATTGTAGCTGGAGACCACTTACACAGCAGATCCTCCTATATTGGGGTGGGGGGGTCGGGGTCGGGGTG